GTCTCTTCACTAAAAAATTTTGCCCACCCCATTATGATGCCGAGACATCCCTTAAATATATTTTTACCAAATTAAAAAGGATAATCTCACAGCACATACATAGCATATAAATCATAAATTAAAAATAATTAAAATTTATCGCAAACTCTTTAGACCGTGTGTTGCAAACATTAACTGAAATCTTCCACCCAAAGACATAAATATAAAAAATTTTGCTTTTTTACTATATATTCTATTTTACCCACACCTTTTTTTTTAATTAAAAGAGCGTCTTGTGGCTCCCTACGTGTTGATATAAAAAATTGTTACAAAAAGAGGGAGGGAAAACGGATCCCCATCTAAAAGCCAAAAAAAATACAAGATAAATCCTAGGGGTTCCCCAATCCACAGTACAACTCCACACAAAGTAAAAGACGCACAACTCCACACAAAGTAAAAGACGACACAAAGTAAAAGACGCATAAGGTATAAATACCCAAAAATTACATAAGTACGATAGATAGAGTAAGAACATTTAAAATACACCCTTAAAAGTCGATCTAAATCAGCAATGAAGGGCGTCTCAAGCCAGTGTGCCGTCGAGCAAGCGCTGATATCGTCATTTAAGCCAAAGTGTTGCTCGTGACAAAAAAGTACCATCAAAAGAAAGTCTTCAAAAACAACATTAATCTCCCAATTCCCTGAAACCATAAGTCTGTAGCCAACTAAAAACACAACAGAAAAACAATGCAGAAAGTTAATATTAAATGCAAAGAAATTATAGATTGATAGGAAGTGATGAACCCACGGCATAGGGATAGTAGAGGGTTGATTCGAAATAGAAAAACAAAAATTTCCATACAACAAAGTAAGTTGAGAATAGTGGAGCAAAAAAAAAAAAAGGCAACAAGTTAACTTCTAATGTAAGACACATCTAATAAGTCCCCATTCAAGAGTAATTGTAATCGAGGTGGGGGCAAAATGCACACAAAAATTCTTCTTAATCCCTGTTTAGCAAGTCAATCAGCTGGAGGATTGCATTCTCTGTATATGAAATGCATCTGTATAACCAAGTGTTTCTTTTTAATAAAATCCTAAATAATGTTAAGCAAACAGAGAGTATTCCAGGTGATAGGAGAGGCCTTGTTGAACATGTTAACAATAGCGATAGAATCCGTTCAATATGTTCAATATGAATCTGAATCATATTGAAACAAAAAATAACCGCAATCTGTAAAGCATACCAAATGGCCAAACATTTCGTTTCTAAAGGTGTGGAGGCATAAACCGGGGAGGCAAAAAAACCGAGGCAGGTGCCCCTATTATCACGAAAAATACCCCCCGTCCCGGCGCCATTAACAATCCAGCTCCCATCAACATTCAGTTTCACCCAACCAACAGAGGGGGGTTGTCATCTTAGCAAAGAGACCATCCTACCCCTCTGGGGGCAAGCAGAAAGTGTCGAAAAGTGCCCGGAGATTTGGAGAAAATAAGCAAGAATATAAGAGGTGGTATTAGCAGGTGTTGGAGGACGTGTTTCATATTTATGAGCATTTCTAGCATCCCAAAGGAACCACAAAATAACTAAAGGGAAATGTTCCAATTTACCAACATAAATAGGTGCAGCCTTCCAAGCATCAATATAGTTATCCAACTCATAAAAATTATTCAATCTAGTCCAAGTAATACCGAAATATGACCCAACCTCATGCCAAACAATACGAGCATAATGACAATTAAAGAAAACGTGTGAAGCCGATTCAGCCTCACATTTGCAAATATAGCACCTCGAAGCCATGCACAAGCCTTTCAATTTAAGAATGTCATCCAAAGGCAAAAGCAGTAAAAAATATCTCCACAAAAAGAAAGATATAGAAGGGGATAGAACATCATTCCAAAGATTTTTAGTCAAATGTCGATGGGTAAAAGTATGCATATTTTGATACAGAAGTTTAGTTATGGAGATATGAGAGGTGAATTTCCACATGGGGAATCCTTAATAGTGGATGAAGGAAGTGGTATTTTTGTAACATGCCTAGCCTTATCCCCAACCAAATCCAGGAGCTTAGGCACATCCCAAGCACCGTCGTGCCAACAATCAGAAACAAGGACGTTGTTATCAAAATCAAAATGAGACATCGTAGAAAGATCCTCCATTCCCCAATGGTCATACCAAAAAGATAAATTACCATTGCCAATATCCCAAAAGATAAACTTTTGAGCAGCAGGTCGAACTTTAATTAAAGCTTTCCAAAGTTTAGTGTCACCCTTTTTCCATTCAACGATGGTGGGGTGGACTTGAGAGCAATATTTTTTATGAAGAAATTGAGCCCATAGCGACGTACCCATGCAAAATTTAAAGCTAATTTTACACATATTGATCTCAGTAATATGATTTAGATTCTTAAAACCTAAACCACCAGCAACCACCAGCAAAAAGAGGTTTGCATGCAAACTTTATCCCAAGTAGACCAAATTTTTCTTTGATTACTTCCAAACCATAAAAATGTATTGAAGAGCCTCTCCAGAGTATTTTGGGTACTCTTTTTCAGGTGAAGAACTTGTAGAGCATATAAGGGAAAGGTGTGGAGAACACTCTTAAGTAAAGTAAGTCTGCCACCATTAGATAAAAAAGTGTTTCTCCAATTGGTTATCTTGGCTTTAATTTTTTCCACAACATCATCCATTTGAGATTGTCTTTTCCTACCCCGGAAAATGTTGACACCCAAATATTTAAGCGGAAGGGAGGCCATCTGACAAGATGTATGGTTGACAACCTAGGAGGTTAAAGTAGTGCTAGCATGCTTACCAAAATATAAATGGCATTTATCCGTGTTAAAGGTTAATCCCGATGTGTGCTGGAAGTGCCTTAATGTTTTCATCAACTGTTTGAAAGCGTTTTTTCTTGTGTTAGAGAAAATTATAGCGTCATCGGCATAAGCCAGATGACTGACCATAAGCTTAGATTTGTGAGAAAATTGGGTGTAAGGGTGAAGCATCTGCATTTGATTCATAAGGCAAGAGAGGTAATCAAAAACGAGAATAAAGATCGTAGGAGAAAGAGGATCACCTTGTTTAATTCCTCCTAAAGAGGAAAAGAAACCATAAGATTCTCCATTCACAAGAACACTGTAGTAATTCTGAGCAAGCCAGGTTTGAATAATACTACAAAATTTAGTAGAGAAACCTCGAGCACGAAGGATGCTTAAAATAAAGTCCCAATTGATAGTGTCAAAAGCTTTCTTAATGTCAAGCTTAATAACCACATTGCCACCCCTACACTTCTTATCTAAGTCTTCAATAATTTCTTTAGCAAGGAGAATATTATCAGAAATTTCCCTACCCTGAATAAAAGCCGATTGTTGAGGAGAGATGATGGTTGCCAAATGAGGTTGTAAACCAGCCACAATAATCTTACTTATTACTTTAGAAATGACAGAGGTAAGGGAGATATGTCGGAAGTTATCCCAACAAAGTTTATCATTATTTTTGGGGATAAGCACAATTAGGGAGGAAGTGAAATATTTACTCGGGTTGTCACCCAAGAAAAAACTTTGAATGGCACTATCACTTCCTTCTTAATAATGTCCCAGCAAGTAATGTAGAAAGTTGAGGTAAAAGCCATCAGACCCCGGGGCCTCATTGGGGTTAATACCTTTAAAAGCGGCAAGGATCTCTTCTTCAGTAGGGACATCAGTAAGAGCAAGAGAAGAGGTATAATCCTTTTCCTCCTTGAAAAGATCCACATTAACAGGTAAGACCAAAGTTGATTGTTGGAAAATGTTAGTGAAATGTTGAACTGCACTGTTACCAATCGCTTTAGGATCAGTAAAAGATTCACCCTCAAAAGATTTGATTTTGAGGATTGTGTTTAAGTTATGTCTTTGCTTTATGGATGCATGAAAAAATTTAGTGTTCCTATCTCCACAAGCAAAATAAACATCATTAGCTTTTTGTTTCAGGAATCCTTCCTCTAAATCAATGGCTTGTAGAAGGGAGTCATGAGCTTGAGCTACATCATTAGCCCATTGCATAGTACAACAGTCTTCTGATTCTAATAAATCAACTTTTTTCTGCGCTTCAATAACTTTAGTGTGTACATTACCAAAAACTTGGTAATTCCATTTACGTAAGTGATGTGCTACTTTTTTATGAAGCTGCCATAAAATATACCAAGGGGTGCCAACAGTATCAGAGATCCAAGCCTGCTTGATGAGAGCTAAGAAGGAATCATGGTTGGTCCAGATATTAAAGAACTTAAATTTAGAAAAGGAAGGGGAATTAAAAAAAGCTAGTGTAAGTAAAATGGGGTTATGATCAGAAGCCGCAGCGTTTAAGTGTTGCACTTTAGAAATTGGATAATAAGTTAGGGTTTAGGGTTTAACCCTAAACCCTAAACCCTAAACCTTAAATCCGACTAAAAACACCATGCTATTTTACCCACACCTATGTGGAATTAAATATGCATGACATATGTAGTTAATTTGATGTAGTTCTTAAATAAAAATATAATAAATACTTAACATGTTATGTCAAGCATACATATTTGCATACATCTCATATAATTATGATGTATGTATGTATGCATGGTACGTGCATATATAAAGAAAATGCATATTTTAAAATTTTCAACTCAATTAATCAGTCAAATTTAAATTTTAGAATTTTGGAGCCGCCCACGAGTCGTCAAAAATAAAAAAAATAAAAAAATAAAAAAATAAAAATAATTATTGACTTATTATATGCAAGCAACGAATCGTTGCAGAACGGCAACGTCGCCGCTCGCTAACCTCCCTCCACCCGTCCAATCCGACGGAAAAACTTCCCCGCTACCGCCACGTGTTATTTGTCGATTTGAACGGTTCAGATTCAACCGATATTCACCATCGGCGTGAACTTGACGTCGAGGCCTGGCGGATTCGGGCCCACATGCTTCGTTGCAGTGTTCCGCAGGACTAACAGAAGCCGATTCGAGTATATTATACCAAACCATGATTTCCTCCCTCTGGCTTTCTGTCTCTCAAATTACGCCGCGATTTCCTTCTTTTTTGTTCCTTTTCTTCTCTACAGTTTCTGATTCTCGAGGTAATGGCGTCGGCAGTTGAAAACAAGGTCAAAAATGCCAAATTGGTGAGTATTCTTCGTTCAATCTCTGGTATTTCTTATAGTTTGCATATTTTATCTTAAAAGGTTCGGATTTGATTTTTTTTTTGCATCGGAACCGCTGGGTACTTGTCCTACATGCACTGCATTCTTGGTTTCCTTTTTGTTTTTATGTTGGCGGAAATAGATTCAAGCAAAAAATTTTAAGAAATTGGGCTGTTATTGCGCGATTCGATCCTTTTGACGTTCGTTGTTGATTGTTTTGTTAAAAGATTTTCCGGATTACATATATTTTCTGGCAAGAATCAAACTTTAGTTTTCATTTAAATTTGTTTATACCGCCTTGTTTCCGATCTTTATTTTTTTCTTAGGATTGTAAAATTTTCTTATTATAGTTTTGTGTTGATGGCAAAGAACAGTATTGAAATGAAAACCTTCTTCTTCCTTATGGTATTTAATTAGTCTTCTGTAGCAGGATGACAATTTTGATTCAATCCCCGTCGTTGGATTTCTAACATTGACTTTGATTGGGTAAAACAGGTACTTTTAGGAGATGTTGGAACCGGCAAGTCAAGTATAGTCTTGCGCTTTGTTAAAGGTCAATTTGTTGAATTCCAGGTTTGTATTCAATGGTGTTCTATGCCATCACGAGGAATTCAATTTTTTTGGGTGATTTATTTATGTTATTTATATTTTTTAAATTGCTTTGCAGGAATCAACAATTGGGGCAGCGTTTTTTTCACAGACTTTGGCAGTTAATGATCAAACTGTGAAATTTGAGATTTGGGATACTGCTGGACAGGAGAGATATCATAGTTTGGCTCCAATGTATTATAGGGGAGCCGCAGCGGCTATAATTGTGTATGATGTAACGAATGCGGTTAGTAATAAATAGTTTAGACTTTCTATTCTACGTTTGTGGTGAAAAAAATTTAGTTGAAGATACTGTTGCTCAAATTAGTTGAATAATGATCAGATTAATGTAATTTTATGATAAGCTTTTTTGTTCAGTTTTGCTATGAATTTTAGACTTTAGAAATCATTTTTTAATCTATTTTATAAGGATCTTCTTGCAATGAAGTGGTAGAAATGAGAATTTTAGTATAGATATATTAAAGTTAGAAGTGATAAATTGAAAAGTTATCATACTATTGGAATGGGTTAGTAACATCTATTGTTGATTGGGTGGTAGAAAATAGGTTTAGGTGGCTTGAGAATGTACAAAGAATGTTAGAAGATGCATAGTAAGATGGATAGATTAAATTATTGCTTGAGGATTAATAAGGAAAATTAGTAGACTAAAGTAATATGAATTGAATTTATGCAAAAAAATTACTTAGTATATGCTTAACACTTCATAGAACACTCAAAGGGAGTGAATGGAGGATGTAAATTCTAAATAGTTGGGATAGATTTTATGATGATGATGATGCATGGATTAGTATGTATATTTTACTTGATTGGAAATCATATGAAGTAGAAGATATTTTAACATTCTCGATCAAGAACAAACTCTCTTCTTATGGTTTGCTCCCCCAAAAGCACCCAATATAAAGATTGGTTAGTTGAATATTTGATCGGACAAAAGTTTCACAATTTTTGCATCTTGCTAAGAGGTTTTTGTATCAGATTATTAAATTTTTTTCTGGTTTGTACCAAACACTGATTTTGATTGGCATTATGCAACTGGGATGCGGGAGTTGGGATTGGGAAGTTTTCTATGTGGGTATGTACCATTGTTTGGATGCATTGTTTGTTCCACCTTTATCTTACGTGTACGATAGGTTCATAAATCACTGTTTTTTTTAATTGCTTTTTACTTGAAGGCTTTCTTATTAAATCCAGCTCATTAGCGAAGAAATTAAAGCTACATATATTCTTGTTCTCTGCATTATAATGTAATTACTTTGTTACTTGGTAGGCCACTTTCATTCGTGCAAAGAAGTGGGTCCAGGAGCTCCAAGCCCAAGGTAGGAACTTTCTTCTATCATTGTTTATTTTTACTTTTCTTTTAAACTGCATGATTATTTATTGATATGATACTGTTGTAATTTGTTTTTCTTATGTACTTTGTAAAATTTTTCTTGCTTTGCGGAGCTATTTCATGTGTATGTATGCATTTGATTGCCTTCTTTTTTATATTACTTAGACTTGTTTACTGTAGAATTTCTGTAGCATTAATGCAGGTTTAATTTTCTCAGGTAACATAAACACTGTCATGGCTTTAGCTGGTAACAAAGCTGATCTTGTAGAAGCCAGACAAGTAACTGCTGAGGTATGTGTTGGTGATCAAGCACTTTTTATGCATAATTTAAACGAAGGAGTTAGTTGATCCTTCTGTCTGACATTTTGAAGATTAATATCAAGGGCTTTGTTTTTGCACCGATACTTTCCATATTAAATTAAAAATAATGATATACATTTTGTCATGAAGAGTAGCAAACTTTCTGATGAATAATTTTTTTTTTTAACACCATCTGCTAATATCTTTCAAAAGTTTAACAATAGATATTATTTAATTGTACTGAATAATCACTCAATCATTTGTCTTCTTTTTGAGATGCCTTCTAAATTATACTTTTTGGACATGAAAGCTCTGGCCTTGAATTTTTATTAATTGATACCATATGATTGAAGACTAACTATTGTTGTAGGATGTCTTAGGATCTTGGTTTTTCCTAATACAAATTTAGGATGGGGTGAACAAAACAAGAGCACAAAGATTAAATTTGCATATTGCCAACTTTAATTGGACAAACACTATTTCTTTTTAGATGAAAATAAAAAAACTCAGAGTTCACCCCAACTGATAATTTGAAGAACGTTCACAATTAAAATTTGTCAAGAAATTTGAGATTGAATAAAAAGCACATAGCTATTAAGTTATAACACAGATAAAATAATTGATTGTTTCAGATTTGATTAGATCCTGATCAGTATTTATGTGAAAAGGAATAAGGTAAAAAGTCAGCAGGCAAATCCTGGCCTCAAAGAGAGTTTTTGTTGTAAGAGTCAATTTCTCGTTTAATTCAACCAAAGCAACAAAACTATATTATAACTCTTTTAATAATGACATTTTCATGTTTCAGTCTCTACTATAGTGCCATAACCATGGGACAGTAATATTGAATACCAGCTACAGTGTCAAAATGTTGTAAGAGTCAATTTCTGGCAATATTTTGTATCTGTGATAGCTGAACCTCACATATAGAAGGACATAGGACAACTCTAATTTAGCCATTTAAGGAAACATGCAACAACCGAACTTAACAACTCTCAGATAAAAGCAAGCATACACATGAATCATTTATTGAAACAAAGAAAATATCCAAATCAAGGGCTTGCTAAGCAATCAATAGCCGCCATCGGCCATTGAAAGAAAACAAAGGACCAATGTGCTAAAAATAAAGGATTTAGAATAATTTGAATTGGCGTATCTAAACAGGGATGAATCAAAGAATTTTGCAATCTAAGCAATAATTGAATTGGCCATGTTAATCAAAACATTTGAAAATCTCATAGTCAAACTAAAGTAGAAAAAAATAGAAAACTATGAAACAGAGAACACTAAATCAATATCAAATTTTCAAATAACAACTATTTGTCTCGAAGATTACATACTCCATTTTCATATTTCCATCATGTACATTATAATTATAATCATTGATTTAACTCTTGAAATTGTATGCAATAAAAAATTTAAAGCCAACCATATACTTGATGATATGAAAAAATTTTTATGGACTCATGTATGGCTTGTTGGCAGTTTATGTGTGCTTGCTCATTAAGCTAGTGAGCTGAAGTTAAGGAAAATACAACCACCAAAATGAACATCTTCAAAAGAAGAAGCGAGCTATCTCTTTTATCATATATTGAAATAGAGGTAGTCTCCAAATCAATGACCTTGTAAGCAATCAATTGTCTTGTCTCTTGGGAGGATTAAAGGACCGACTGTGAAAGAAAAAGGATTCGAAGTCAATTGAATTGGGTAGTCTAAAGAGAGTTGAATCAAATTAGTTTGAAATCTAGGTTGTAAATCAAACCTACAATGATAGTTTAAACATTAGAAAACAAATCTCACTCTCATAACATATATCATTATAGGCTTGTTACATCAACATACTACAACAACAACAAAAACAACAAGAACAACAACAAAGCCTTAATCCCACTACGCGGGGTCGGCTACATGAATCCTTTTTCTCCCTTGCGTCCTATTTAGTTTCATATTTTCATTTAGTTTTAATAAATTAAGATCATTTTTTATACAATAAGCCCAAGTCTTCCTAGGTCTACCTCTGTTTTTCTTAACAAAAGTCGAATCTAAAACATCTACTCTCCTAATCAAGTCATCAGATGGTCAACGTTTAATGTGACCAAACCATCTAAGAAGACTCTTTAAATTTGTCTCACTGGACGGATATATTCATTTTGCATTTTGTTCGTCACCAGAGCTTGTTACATCAACATAAACTAGAAAAAATTAGAAAACTATGAAATAGAGATGATTAAATCAATCTCAAAACTTTGAATAAAAGTTTTTGTCTCAATCCTAATATCCCCATATTTGATGAAAATAAAATTTCAGAGTTCCATCACCTACATAGTTATTGATTTATTGTAATCTTTGATTTAACTTTTTATATTATATGCAAAAATAAAAAATAAAAAAAACAAAAAATGTTGAAGTCACTACTATGCTCAAGGATGTCCAAAAAGTTTTGTGAACTCACGTTTGTCTTGATGGCAAAAGTAGCTCATGTCACCTTCTTGAGAGAGCGAGTTGAATTTGAGGGAACTTGTAACAACCAAACTTAGCAACCTTCAAAAGAAAATCCAGCAAACACTTGAATCATATATTGAACAAAAGGTAATCTCCATAGCAATCACTTTGTAATCAATCAATAGTCGCAATCGAAGCCTGGAGTAAACAGGAGCGAATGTGCGAAAACAAGGATTAGTAATCAATTGAACTGTAGAATCCAAAAACAGTTGAATCAAGTCACTTCACAGTTTAAGCTATAAATCGAATCAACTGTGATAGTCAAAATATAGAAATCAAATGAGATCTCATTCTCATAACCAACATCATTATAGAAATGATTCATCAAAATAAAATATAAATAATTTGAAAACAATGAAATATTTAAGAATAATAAATGCTTGTTCGAATGGTTAAATCTTATTTTTCAACGCTATAATTCCTCAGATTTCCATCACCTACCAAATTATTATAAGTATTGATCGAAGTCTTGAGCTTGTATGCAATGAGATAGTTAAAGTCATCTCAATATTTAAAGGTGTCAAAAAGGTTGTGAACTCGTGTTTTGTCTTAGTGGCAGATTGGTGGTTTATTTTCTCTTTTTTGTTAAGCTAGCTAGTTGAACACATATAAAAACTAACTCGATCATGCAAGGTTCAATAAAAACTTATTTATATGTTCCTACAAATAAGTACATGAAGTTCATTTTTTTACTTACGTGTTTAATATTTAAAATCAAATCATCTGATATACTTTAAAACTGTGAACCACAACTGTTTTAAAATTTATGCTTTGAAATAATGTTGAGTTATAAAAATCATATATTTTTTCATGCAATTCAAGTTATTCGTCGAGAATCTTATCATGCGATCACTTGTAATCAATTTGCCTTATTATTCATGTTCTACTCGATATTGGCACACCAAACACTAACGAGAATTTTAAGCTCATTAATAAATTTAATCTTGTTATTTTTTTATCATGATGACTAGTTAACTCAGCTGAATGCCCATCTCCTCCATGCTCAACTCAGTTACACCTTTATTAACTTTCCAATTCGTATCAATAGATCTATATCTGCCTATTGCTTTACTATTTATATGTCAATCTAATTCTTTATGTCCGTTTCTTGTTTGGGTTTTCGTCCAAAATTGCAAACTGTAACTTCTTTTGCAATGTTTTCTACACGGTGTTTCCAGGAAGCCCAAGCTTATGCCCAGGAAAATGGTCTTTTCTTCTTGGAAACTTCTGCAAAAACAGCAAAAAATGTCAATGATGTTTTCTATGAAATTGGTGAGTCTGTTATGGTTTTGAGTACTAATATACTTGGCTGTATTTATGTTTCACTGTAATGCAAGGTAAGATAACTAGGAATCTTACACATCGTGGATGACTGCATGAAGTTTCCTTTAATATTCTTATTGGCACTTAGTGCTGGTGTTATTGAGAAATTAACTACAATATTCCTGAATTTCTAAATTTATCCATGTTTTAAAATTATCACTTCATCGGCTTCATTCAGATGGGAGCTAACCATGGTTGGTTTAATTTATGCATGTTTTAAGGGGCTTTGCCCGCCTTGTATAGGGTGCACTGGGCCGCAGGAGACTGCAGTATTCTCACATAGCTTCTAAGAAGCCTGTTTTTGGGGATTGGGGCTGGTGTGCCTTTTTCAAGATTGGTGCTCTGATTAGCAGCTGTTAGGCTCCTATGACAACCATAGGAGGCTTCGTGAGATCTTTAGGTGCTTATATAGCTCATATCCACAGGAGGTTTCATGAGATATTATGGGGCCATGTTGGCCCTAAATGACATAATGATTTGCCACCAAAAAGTCACATCATTTTCTTGCATTTATGAAGCTATTTTAAGGGCTTATTTTGGGCAGTTTTCTCATTGCTTAAAATTCTTGGATAGCTGCCGCATATTTTTTTGGCTACTGCTTTATTGAAGCTTTTCAAAAACTTCTGTTGAGGGAATTTGCTTTCGAGAATCAGATTTGCTCTAGTGTGAAAGCCTTAAGAAAGACGATATTTGAAAATTTTTGTAAGTGAAAATATTTATAATGCCCGTATTATATTTAAAAAAAGTGGCTTTCTTTTAACAGTTTTACAATCACAAACATAACCTAAATTTCAATGGGATTTTGGGTTAAATTTGGTATAGTTAATGAATATTAGCAAATTATTTTCATCTTAGGAGTTAAGTTTGTAGTTTAGTTGGTCCATGACAGGTTATCGTTTGGCTCAGTCTTAGACAATCAGTGTTACACTTACCTCCCTTTTTTTAAATTTTTTTTTTTGAAATTACATTCACCATTTTTTTTGTTAGATATTACGCTAAATGTTAATCTCCTTTTTTTTAAATTACAGTTACTTTCTTATTGTAAGATATTCTGTCACATATAAACCTTAATTTGTTATCCTAGAGCTTCAGAAATGGGAGGCATAATTTCAAAAACCTGGGGAATGTATGTATAATATTGACTGCCTGCAATGGAAGCAAGTGTAATTAAGAAAAAAAAATTCCCCAAAAATGAATATATGTATCATAATCTAGTTTATATAAGCTATATGTAATATTGACTACCTACAAGGGAAGTAAATGTAAATACTCCAATATTATTTGTTTTATCAGTGATATTGGAAAAACCAAGCAAACACAAATAAAATGTATTTTATAATCAAGTTCATATTTAAATTCATATTTATATCTATGCATATATAATTGGATTACATACATTTATTAACATACTCATATGCTTGCATTTTCTTAGTTTAATTGTACGCATGCTTGCATCTATCCTATCTATTGTTAGATAAAGACAGATTAGAATATGTTCCACAGTAATTCAAAGTAGTATTTATCAGTTTAGTTGCCCATCTTGTCTTACTTAGTTTTAGGGGCATTTACGTACATATTTCACAATTCTTACACAATTCTTACGTATTTAGATATCACACCCCTAAACTCTCACATTTAGGGGCACTCAAATCTTTAATATCGCATAAAAAATACCACCATTACCACTTTTTAAAAATGAAGTACACCTTTTCTTGAATGGGTTTAGAACACCAAAATGTTATGCATGTAATAATGAAAGTTTAGTTGTGAGATATGTAAATACACAAGAATTGTATGCTACGTTTATAAACTCTGGGTCTGAAATAATCCTCTCCAAAGGACTATTCGGACACTTTTTTCCTCAATATTCTAAGTGAAAAGTTCAATCTCATAAGATTAATATTTGTTTCATTTTTTCAGCTAAAAGGTTTCTTCAATCTCAAGCTCAGCAGCAGCAGAACGCCAATGGGATGACCTTAACGGATACAACAGCTAACAGGACCATAACCTCATCCTCTTGTTGTTCTTGAGATCTCTGAAACACATCATTTGAACAGCCCCACAAATCTTCACATCCCCTCTCATCACCCCTCATTCTTTCATAAAACCATGACTATGTATATAAAACTGAAAATTTCTTCTATTATTGATCAATGAGATGGGATACTTTCTGAGCTTATTATTCCTGTAAGATGTTACAGTAACAGAAGCTTCTGTATGAGTGAATTTGTTTTGATTAATATTGTTTATCAGTCATAGTTGGTCAAATGTTCATTGTTCATGTGAACTTGTTGGGTTTACAGTGTGGAATTGTCAGAATGGGAAGAACTTAAGGATGTAGCAAAGGTTAGTAAATTGAGAGTGTTTAGGCTTCATTTGGAACCTTGTTGTTACAGTTTTCTTCTTCTACAGCATTGTATTGTATGATGGTGTTTATTTCTGCATTAAATATTTTATGGTTATGGGGTGAGTGTCACTCTTTATGATGGTATGATTATGGAGAATGCATCTGTGAAGTAAGACTCGCAAAAAAACAAAAAATAAAAAAGGAAGATTTACAAACATACCTTGCAATTCCAAATCTTTAATGTTCATTTTTATATTGCTCTTCATAATATTAGTGGTATTTTTCATGTGATATGAAAAATTTTAAGTGTTATAGATGTAAATATTGAAGTTAAGGTGTTAGATATGTAAAAAAATAGCAATTATGTGGTATGTGATTAATTGCCTTAATAAAAGAACTTTTAATTTAAGCTATTAAAAAATATTTTGGTATGAAAATATCATCTCTCTATCCTATATTGCTTTTTTCATTATTGATCGTCTAATTTCTCATATTTTTAATCATTTCATTATGATATGTACTTGAATCAAAGGTAGTTTTCTGCCGTTATTAAAATTGAGCAGGCTCCAGCAAACAAAGCACCTTATGATTTAAAGTGTGTTTGGGGGCAGTTTGTGCATTTCGGGATAAATAACTTATCCTGAAAAGAGGATCGTGATTCGATCGCAGGATTCGAGCCATGGCCTGCGTTTAATGTAAAAAATGAAATCTCATTTTCGGATAAGCGGGTAAAACGCGCAATTCAAACAATACCGTGATATTTTTAAAAATGCCCCCGCATTTATAAGCCCCTTAATGTCGTTAGATTAAACTGGAGGCCTCACTCCATAAATTCATGGGCCGGCTTGGAAATCAAGAAGCCCAAATGTAATTTTCAGTTAGTTTGGGCGTATGTGTTAATTATTATTTAAGGCCAGAATCAGTTCAGCAGTCCAGGCAGGGGTTGGGGATGAATCATAGAATTATTATCATTATCATTTTAATTGAAGAAAGCAATATACGTACATTATAGCGATCCAAGTATAGGAGCCCCAGAAAATGGAGAAAATATTACGTCCAATAAGCCGGATATGTGGTCTAAAGCATGGATCACACCACGCCGCTAGGTGCACGTATGACGTGTTACGATCCATGCTATTGTTCTCACATTCAGACAACGGACATAATATATTTTTCAAAGCAATAACAAAAAATATACCAAGATGTAAGATTATGGGCACATTCACTTAACTTAGATATGGGCTGATAACATGAAGCTATAGCTTTTCTTATAAGCTATTGGCACACATTTTTGTCGATTAATCCAATGCAAATTGTAGACACTAGTGGGGATGCCTATTATAGTTAACAACATTGACACGACTGATGCTCATCATTGGTAGTAAAGTTAACGTCCACCATTTGCACTAACACCAACTCTTGTTATATCCAATAAGGACGACACAAGCCAGTGACACTAATATTAATGCTCTATTATATCAACAAGACTGATATATGCACGCAACACTAATTATGACAAGCACTGTCGACAACAATGCTGTAGTCTAACGTTGACACCAATGTTAATGTTCATTATCGACACAGAAAGTGACGCTTATTCTTTTGGTTGCTGGTCTCTCATTCTACAAGTAGAAGTAGAGCAATGTCACTTTCCTCATGATATTTTCCAATGCATTGAGGCTCCTCTTACTTCCATTATAAAAGCAATCTTTCATAGCTTCTATCCACTGCATCATATAATGTCTTTTTCACTTATGGAAGAGGATATTGTTTGTAAACAATCTACAACTCACATTCGTGGAATTATTTTAAGTGGGCAAGATCTTATAATTTTTTTTTCTAGAAAATTTTCATATAAAATAATCTAGAATCTCTTGTGAGCTTCTCACAAATTATCTTTTTTATGTGTGGTTGATTTTCATATAACAATAACATGACAAATTCTCTTTAGTTGATGATTATTTTAACATGTAGTAATTTTAAACCGTAAAAGAATCTCCATACTTATCAACAAACTTGAATATAGCTATAAAAGAAACTTCATGTTAACAACCTAAGCTCAAATACAGTTAAGCGACCCTTTTATAATATATTGATATATACATCTATTAGAAGCAACTTATAATTAGAGGATAACTTTGACTATAGTATTAAGTGAATATACTAAAAACCAGACATCTTCTTTTGAAACTCTTGTCACCCACAAATTTATCAATTATGTTGGAAGTAATAGTTGGAGAACTCCTTCCTTTTGTCTTCCTCTCATGTATTAATTTTGTATGGGGGGTGTCTCAGAAGGAAATTTATGTTAATATAACTATACTTGGGCAACACCTTTCCTCAAATTACAATTACAACCTTATTAGCATTAATTTTTTAAGATTTTTGGCAATGACATTAGTTGAAAATTTTTATGGAATTTTCTCTACTTCTTCTTGTTTAGGTTTTTAAGACAATAATTATGCCAACAGCCTAAGGTATACCTAACTTCTTAAATCATATATTTGTTACTATGAGGTGCTTGGTTTAGCTAAAAGAATCTTGGAAGTCTTAAAAAGAATGAATAGAACTGTCCATAGAATTTTGCATGATTTTTTACCTCAAAGTTTCATGAGGATAAATGGTAGACAAAAAATCTCAACATTAAAGCCTTGAATGCCATGTCGATAAGAAAGCCTCAATGGGTAGTTAGCATTGAACACAATTCATATTATTAAATCTCCATAAAAGCAGGTAGAAACAATCTCGCCCAAAAATTTCAAAAAAAGAAAAAAAAAAAACACTAGCTTAAGAAGGTATATAATTTTTGCTCATCCAAAAATCTCAAGTATTATTCTAAAATGTTACAAAGTTTTTACTCATTTAATAAACTCAAAAGCTATATATTTCAAAAACATATTGAATATCTACTCTTTCAAAATCTCATAAGATATTAACCTAAAAAATTACACAATTTGTATACATCTAAAAATCTCATGGATACATGCACATTCGAAGGCTTTAAAGGGTATAAGATACTAAACATGATCCTTATTGAATATTTTCTTATCGATACTAATTATCACAATTCATCAAATTGGTAAAAAAAAACTACCAAATCACATCATTTGAATGATCAAATCTACTTTGGGAGACAATATCTCTTGTAATTACTTGAATAACTCTCACAATGATCTAAAATTCTATTTCTATAATAAAGTTTGATGATGTCGTGTAGCCTCATAAACAATTCAAAACTCTAATCTCATATGAGAAAGAGATCCTCAAACAAAATAATGACCACTATAAAACAGTTTTAGTGATTTAGGCTATCACCACTACTACAACCTGATTAACTCTCAACAACATCTTCTTAGTATATAATAGGAGGCCTCTTACAATGCCAATAAGGAACTTAACTTTTCTTTTAAAACATAACACTGTTTGACAAAATGTTCAACTTTAAAGAAGAATATATTATTATCCTTCTTAACAAGCCATCTTTTCAAGAAATAAAGAGTTTTTTTCATGAAAACCAGTGAATAGTTGAAAGATAGAACTTCTACAAGAGGTAGCCAAGACATCATTGACAATAGAGAGCAAACTAATATCTAACTCTATCAATTTAACTACTCTAATCAAATTATTTTTTAAAAGAAGTACAAATGAATATGATAAAATGATGTGCATAAACTAGATATATATTTTCTCCTCATCCACAACACACTTCTCTATCTAAGAGACAATCATAAGTTTGATGAGAATCATCATGATAAATTCATTGTGAACCTAAAAAAAATGAAGCTTAAGTAAAGATTTCCCAAATATATATATATATATATATATATATATAGTATTTTTAAAAAAATTAATTGACTACAATCAAAATTCTTATTCTACTCATATCAAGAATATAAGAAAATCCTTTATACCCCTCATTAAATTTATTTATGCAAAAATGTAGTAATAAATTACTAAAAACTTTTCAAGAAATTTTTCCAAGGAAAAACTATTGGAGAAAATTTCTAAAAACTCTTGTGAAGGATTCAGACGTTAGGAGAAATATCTATAAAAAATTTTGTCATTTTTAATAAGTTTGTGTCACTCAAATATTCAAAATATCTTTTTTTAAGACATGAGTATAATTAGCAAATTTATCATTTCTTAATTTTACATTTTGGCATAGAAAAAAAAAATTATGGGAGATATCTAGCCAGTGATTTTATAAAAATAAAAAGAATTCTCATTAATTTTTTTATCATTGGTTTGATAACATATATTCACAAAAAAGTTATATATATATATATATATATATATATAAGGAATGGTCGGAGGCAATGATACGGGCCCCAGTTATCCCTTATGCGCCTATAATTCGACTACCACACCCTACACTCGGGGGGAATCAAACCCAGATCAAAGGGACTTACAAGTGACAAGCAGAAGCCCGACCAACTGATCTGAGTGTGCGTTGTGTGTGTGTGTGTGTATATATATATATCAGAACATTATTGTTACTTTATTCAAAAAAAAAAATTTCTCATAACAATCAAAATGACATTGACACTTTAGCTAATATTCTTTTTAAAAAAAAGCAAACTCTTGTGAAAAGTTGTACCTAAAAGATAATAAAAATGAAAAAAAAAATCAACAAAGAGAATCCAAGAAAAAAAAATAAAGATTGCAACAATGCTCCCATTGTTTTTCTTGCATTTGAGTGTAAATTAATTATGTTAAAAGTGCAAGTTCTAAGCTTTTTGATAATACATAGCAAACCTTTTTGTTTTATTCTTCTTAGAGCAAGGTGAGCGTTTGAATCCACTCTATTGGTATTCTTAAGCTTATTACCAACAAACGTGTTGCTAGCCCGAGCACCTATTAGACCATTATTGATAACTTTTGCCATCATATTTAATTAAAATATGTTTTACATTTTCATAAAATAATTCCATCCACTCCTATCTCTTGGTAAATATATTATTGGGCTATAGAATCTTTTCTATGCTAAAATTACCCAAAAATTCATCTCCATTGTCATTAAGGGCACACAAGACCTCTATTTCAATTGATTGGTAGGACCTAATAGAAGAGCGGAGTTTATTAGGTTTTAAAAATAAAAAAATTAAAAAAAGAATAAT